AATATTACTGATATTTAATTATTTCATTCTAGTGCAATTATCTGTTTGAGAATATGTCAATGTTTTGTTCAGTTTCTGTGTATGGAGTATATCAAGATTAATAATATCAATTATTATTAGTGGATACTTTGTTTGTAGTATTATGGTCACTTAAAATATGTAATATTTTAATTAAACCTAATAAAACAACATTGCATTTACATTAATTTAGTCATATTTTAGTATCTATTAGATAATTATTATACATTTAAGAGTATTACTTCTAAAATAATTTATTAATTAATTTCTTTTCTATGGTATATAAGAATATTGAAAAAAACTGTTCATAAAGCTTTTATATGTCATTTGTAGGATAATGCACATAAGACTAATTCGTCTTAACAATAAAATGTTATGAAACATTTAGTTTCTAATCAAAACAAAGTAATATATTCTATTCAACAATTTTACAAGTTATTTCTTTTATAATACAAACTCACACAAATTTAAAGCAAAATATTCTGTCCAAAACCGTTATCAAGTTTTTTGTTAAATTAATGATTGCCAGATCAGAATCCGAGAATACATCCCAAAATGGAAAACTGGCGTTTTCCTTCTTAACAAATCAATTAGAAAACAAACTGTACCAGCAGTTCCTTCATAGAGTGAATAAGGACTATCAGGCGTCCTTGCCTTTGCTCTAAAATGCTCAGATCTCATAAACTCAGCCATTTTATTTGCTCTATGCAAATGCTTTTGATCTCCAGTTAATCTGTGATACAAAAGCAGAAATACATAACCGCTACCAGCTACTCCATGGCAAATACCAGGTCCTTTACGAAGTAACCCTAAGCACAAGTTATAATAATAATAGTATATAAAAAATCCAAAATGAATTTAAAAATATATTTTTATTGGAGTAAAAATACCTTATTCCAAACAAGGTCTCCAGTTTTCAAGCATGACAGAAGATATTTGTCATCTTTATAGGTCAAGTAAGCTTTAGCCATGAGATAAACTACTCCTGGACCACCATGACACCAATGCACTAATTCTTTGTTTCTGGTCGCTTATATCCCACTTCATCTAAAGTACATGGAAAATTTCCTTCAGAATTTTGAACAGAAAGCATATAGTCAACACTTTCTTTCACTTCTTTCATGGCTTGGGGATGTTTGTCCAAATAACCAGGCGCTGACAGAAGCATTTGTAAAATAGCACTCAAACCATGGGCTGCACCTTAAAAAAAAAAAAGGATTTAGATTTATAAACTTTGTTGTAGAAAACATAAATCTCAAATATTTGAAGCATATATTTCCATAATATTACATAGTTTAATATACATATATTAATATGAATCTTTTCAAAAAAAATTAATTTTTGCAAATATAATATTAATATTTACCAAGATATTCACTGCCATGATAAGAGTACATCAAAGGACAAGGACTACTATTTGAGCAGCATATTGTCTACCAGACTGAACCATTTTATCACATATTGAATATAAGGTATTACTAGAAATAGCAGGTTGCGATAAAACTTTATTTATCCATAAAGCACCACTCAAATAACCAGCTCTTCCCACAAGGACCTAAAAAAATGTTAATATAATTTGCAAATATTATTAAGATGAATTATCTTACTCGCCTCATCCCATTGTGTATTTTTCACAAACTCTGCAGCCTGCAAAAATTTCTTAGCATAATCTTTTGTAAGTGATTTGCGTTCAATATCTAAATCATATACAGCAGCTGTAACTGCATGCACCCCCGTACTGCCAAGAAGAAATCCAATATCATCCTCAGAATGTTTCTTTTTTAAATATGTATTTGAAGATTCAATATATTGTAGGGCTTGTTGATAGAACTTTTCATTAGATTCAGGAAATAAATTTGACTTGATTAAATAATATAGCATGTATGCTATACCAGCATCACCCACATAAAGACCTAAAAGAATAAGTCTTCTAAATAATAGTCTTACAAGTAGTGAGATAGTACACTTAACTATTAAAATATCCCGTTAGCAAAACATTTAGTAATTAAGTGTTGAACTTATTACAAGTCGGTATTTATTCATATGAAAAACCTTCTCTATCTTCTACTCAGAGCAAAATCAAGAATATTCGTGAAATGGGAGTCACTTACCGCCTCGACAATTCCGGTAATTTGCTGGTTGTTGGATTAAAATATCTTCGACGATATTCTGAATTTGGTGTTTGATGACACCCTCGTCTATTTTAACTGCGCCACTCTTATAATCATCTAATTCATTTTTAAAATACCTATTATTTATTAGTGACATTTTAATTACTTTGTCATATAAATTCACGGAAGATATTTTGCGCACCAACACGGCTAATCTTGAAAATGTCATTGGTTTTGTTTGTAAATAATACTTTTTTTTTGTTAAGTTTGGATTTTGCTTTATACCAAGACCAAGTTCAGGTCATTGCAATCATTTAAAAAATAATAATATGTTGACAGTTTATGGAAACAAGTGAATTTAGTAGTTATTAATTTTCAGATTACTAGATTACTTTAATTTGTAATTATATATAAATGTATTGACCCAAAATAAAATAACTTTTACTTTCATTATAACCACATAGAAATAAATTTTTGAATATTAATTTCGTGATTTAGGTTAAGAAAGCTCATCAATTTCTGTAGGATTATTAATAATAATTAATAATTATTGCTTAGCAATGAAGGATTTTGAAGTACCCGATCCCAAAAATGTTATCAAAAATAGAGAATTACTTTATAGATTGATGATAAGGTTAGATAGTTTAATCAACAATGCTAGAGTTATTTCATAAATGCATTAATAATTTATTTTAGCCAACTATTTTATGATGGTCATCAGAACATTGCTGTATCTTTATCAACATTAGTTCTTCCTGATCCCCCATGTCCACCAAGTGATAAACTCCTGAATATAATGATATCAGGATTGGCTGCAGAACCAGATCGCAAAGAGAAAGCATTACTCAATGATAACAATGGTGGTGGATTAGACTTAGAATTTGAGACTGAAGGTTCAACACTTGCCGCAGAGCCAGCTAGTTATGAGACTGCTTATGTAACATCACATAAACAAGCCTGTAGAGCTGGTTCCTTCAGTTTCGATGGTCAATTGGTGGCCACTGGAAGCGTTGATGCGAGTATAAAGGTAAAATATTCACATATTTTAACTATTTTTATTTAAAATAAACTTTTCTAAATTATTTGAAATTTTTTCGTTGGTTATAGATTCTAGATGTCGATAGAATGCTTGCAAAATCAGCTCCTGATGAAATGGACCCGGGGCGTGAAACACAAGGACATCCAGTTATCAGAACATTATATGATCATACAGATGAAGTAACTTGCTTAGAATTTCATCCAAAAGAACAAATTCTTACATCTGGTTCAAAAGACAATTCTATAAAGTTATTTGATATTTCAAAAGCCTCTGTTAAAAAAGCTTACAGGACAATTATGGTAAAAAATAACAAATTAAGGTTCAAACATTTGTTAATTTGTAATATTTTTAGGATTCATGTTCAGTTAGATGCTTGGCTTTTCATCCGACAGGTGATTATATTCTTGCAGGAACTAATCATTTTGTAGTTCGACTTTATGATATAGAGACTGCACAATGTTTTGTCAGCCACCTCAGAAATTTTCATCACACTGATGCAATTAATCATGTCAAATATTCAGCTAATGGAAAAGTAATTAAAATGATAATAGTTTTAAATGTTAAATAAATAGCAGGTATTATATTAATTAATATATATATTATAGCTTTATGCTTCTGCAAGTGCTGATGGTACTATAAAGCTTTGGGATGGTGTCAGCAGTCGCTGTGTAAATACATTCCAAAAGGCACATGACGGTCAAGAAGTTTGTTCCATTGCTTTTTCAAGAAACGGAAAGGTAAGAGGCACACATGTAGAAAAAATGATTTATTGTTATTTATTAATCATTTGTTCATTCACAGTATCTTTTATCATCTGGTAAAGATTCTCTAGTAAAACTATGGGAACTAAGTACAAGCAGGTGTTTAATTGCTTACACAGGAGCTGGCACAACGGGTAAATTAGATAAATTATACATTCCCATTCACACATTATGATGTTGTTATATTGAACTTTTTATTTTATTTTTAAGGTAAGCAAGAGCACACAGCACAAGCAGTATTCAATCACACTGAGGATTATGTACTTTTCCCTGATGAAGCTACTACATCATTATGTGCTTGGAATGCAAGAAATGCCTCTCGAGCACAATTGATGTCATTAGGACATAACGGCCCAGTTAGATTTATTGTTCATTCTCCCACACATCCAGCATTTCTTACATGTTCTGATGACTTCCGTGCTAGATTTTGGTACAGAAGATCTGCACAAGCATGATTGTATTACGGTTTAAAATATTTCATAATTTTGTATAATAAAACATTCATTTAATATAAATTATATATTTCATATATATATATATGCTTACTTTTATTACATTGCACAATAAATTGCAGTCTTCCCTTATTACAAAATTATCAATTTTCAATTGAAAAATTTAACAATTCATATTTTCTTAAGTAATTTCAAATATATAGTGTTTCATAAATTCATACATTCAGCAAGATAAATAAAAAATATTAAGAAAAAGTTTAATGAATATAAGGCACAATTTAAAATAATACTATTCAATAATGCCCATTTAGTAAATCCAAACCGATAAAATCACAATTCATATGAACATAATCTGTATGACTTCTAGATATTAACAAAAACTGAATTTATAAAAAGTTTTGAGCTAAAAATGTACAATAAAACTTTACAGCTCTAAATAAAAACAAAATAAAGTTACACATTAAGATTTCTTAAATCAAATTTAAAAAATATGAATTATGATTTTTGGAATGGGTTTAATTAAAGTATATTAAATTCATAACTACATACCAACATATGTATATCAAAAATCAAGTTTATCTGGCATTAAAATTAATTAGTCTTCACAGTTTTATCTGCAGCATTCTTTAAAGGAGAAGTTGTTGTAGTTGTATCAGGAGACACAGCTCCGCTATCATCACTGCTAACAGTCTTATTTAATTTCCTATTTTTAGGTTTTTTTGGCGTTTTTGTATTGGGGAATGTGGCAGTACGTTTTGGATCAAAATGTGAGTCCAATATCTCTAATAAATCATGTTGTTGATCTTTCCTTGTAATTTGCAATTTGGCTGTAATCAGTAAAAAAAATGGTATTTGGTAGTTTTGTAATTGATAAGACAAAAAAGTATAATCATTCTAAATTGCATCATGAGATACTAACCCAATTCATTTATTAGGCCTTGTTTTCCATCTGTTTCATATGTACTTTTCATGGTATTATAATCAGATTTGCCTTCAGCCAATATTGATCTTAAAACATTTATGTGCTGAATATCCCGATAATTCATTTTGCTAGCTGCACTAAATATTGGCTGGAATGAACTGCTTCTTTCAGCAACTTTGCGCAGTTCTTTTAGTTCACCTAATTCTACAGAAGTAGGATGCGAATACTGGCGAACTACTTCTACCATGTTGTCTAATATTACACGATTTGGATCTCCAGTACCAGCTGCTAAGTTCTTTTGTTCACCTGAAATAATTACTATAAATATGAAATTTTCACTAAAAAAAAAATTAAATAGAATTTATGGCAGTCAAACCTTGACCAAGATGTTGAGCTATTTCCCAAATAATTTTTGCTCTATTTGATGCATTATCGAATTGTTCTTCTCGATCTAGTAAGACTCTGGATAAAACTTTAAGGTTAAAAGACTTCATGGTAGTTGAACATTTCTCTTCTGCTAATGCATGTCCATTTGCAAAACCCTTAACAATTTCATGAAACTTTCCAAGTAAATGGTAACGTTGAAGAGCTTCTAAGAGCATGTAAGATACCATTTTCTTAGGTTCATGGAATATGAGAATTACACCTGCTCCATCTGACTTTGACTTGATTTCTTCAAGCCAATTCAAAAAATCTATTAACGCAGATATTTCTGACTTTGTTCTTATAACCTATTGTAAGAAAATAAATGTAAGATTGCATATAAATTTTCATATGATTCAGTTTTGTGTTTTGTTTACCTTATTGTTTATATTGCTTCTCAAAACTCTAAAACGGCCATCAGTTGTAACACGAATATTATGTCTTCGTCTAGCACTTGGGTTTAAATTTGCATAAGGCATGATATATTGGGAAAATTGGCTATTTGGAGTGTATGCTGCTATATGGCATATCTAAACAAGAAAAAAGTTACTTGGTAAAATTTATAAATTAACTATGACCATCAAAAGCTGATATGATCAAATCTAAATTCATTTAATATCTGTTGAAAAATTATGATTTAAAACAAAAATGGCATCATCATTAGGGGTGTGGTATGCTTAATAATATTCATGTGGTGGATTACAAAAAGGTTTCATCGGAATATTAGATCAGTATATATTATATACTTACTTCATCTATTAACCTTCGTCCAGTTGTATCCATATCACAACTGATAAGGCAGTATTTTCCTGCTGGAAGGCATTTAGGCTTGTGCTTTTTGCCTTCAGTAGCCTTCTCACTCTCTGGCTTTTTAACCATGTTGTCCTGTACAGTAATCAAAATCAGTATCAATTAATCATTTCTTGCAATATAATTAACTAATAGTGAACAGAGAAAATATAATGCAGAATTTATACTAGTACTCAAAAAACTATGCATACATAATGCGAAAATCGAATTGCGTAAAAGTTGCATATAATAATAATGTTATCAATCTCATTTACATACCTTACTTTGACCACCTCTAAAACGTTGATAAATATTTTATATGTAAGAGAATAGTCACACGAGGTGAGTTTAAAAGTCAATCGTATACTTGTTAAGAGCTTACCGCCTACTAAAAACGGTATCCAATTCGATTTACGCCGTAAGTAGCAAAAACGAATAATGCAAATCGTGCACGTGCAAACCTTCTTCACAGATAAATATCAGAGCACGGCGAGAACGACTTGCACTAATGGTGTTGCCAGAATGGAAATAAATTTTACTGACAAAAAGTGCATCTGAGTGAGTCATGCATTCATCGCTTGTTCATGGTTCGTTTTTTTATGAAATCATTTTATAGTAAATAGGACTTTGACTAAATACTTTAAAAACTTTTCTTATTATGTATTTATTAAGCAATATCAGTACAAGCATTTGATTATCCAAATGAAACATTTAATTTACAACATATTCAGGACGTAATTAAACACCTTTTAAATATGCAGGAGTTATATGGCAGGCAATTTTTATTGAAAAAGAGATACAATATCAAGATGTGTTATTGTTATCAAATACTAATTAGAAAGCATTAATGTCTTGCGAGTGTCGAATGCAGATGTAAAAACTAATGTTAGTGCTGTTTAGAATAAAATTTGAAAATTGATTTATATTATAAATATCCTTTGATAAATTTAATTTTTCATAACGTCATATTAGTTGTATTATCTGCTCATTACTAATTAGGTGATTTTAAGATTTTATGATTTTATGACTCTTCTTTTATCTATGATTTTAATCATGAATTCCAAATGTTTAGAATCTCTGGATGCAGGTTAGCCAATATCAAAAATATTTATCAATGAGTCACTGCTGAAGCTCATTCTTGTTTTTGACAAGTGCTTCAATTCAGTTTTGATATGACGTAAATACAGCTGGTTGAAACGACATTTAAACGCAATAAATTATACAAAATCTTTTGATTCTTTTCAATTTTGCATCTTTATAATTATAATAGTTATCTAAAGTATTCTACGATGTCCTATGCTTATTTGTTTAAATACATAATAATAGGAGATACGGGTGAGTGTTCTATTGATTTTCCTTTGTGGGAGTGGAATAATTATTTCTGCACATCTGTTGTCAAACATGATATCTCTCCGTTAAATGAATATTTGACGACTGCTGTTTTGAAAACTGAATATGAGCCTAAAATTGACTATTAATTTTTTTTAATCTTATTACAGGTGTAGGAAAATCATGCCTCCTTCTACAGTTCACAGATAAACGTTTTCAGCCTGTTCATGATCTCACAATTGGAGTTGAATTTGGTGCACGAATGATAACTATTGATGGAAAACAAATAAAACTTCAAATTTGGGATACAGCGGGTCAGGAAGCCTTCAGGCATTGGTAGTCGTGTGGAATTGCCTTCAGGTAATATATTTCAGAATATGTAAAATTGGTGGAAATGTGGTAAATAATTACTATAACTAGAATAATTGTTTTTTAGATCAATTACTCGTTCCTACTATCGAGGAGCAGCTGGTGCTTTGCTGGTATATGATATAACCAGAAGAGAAACTTTTAATCACTTAACAACATGGCTGGAAGATGCTAGACAACATTCAAATTCAAATATGGTGATCATGTTAATTGGAAATAAGAGGTAAATATGAAATTATTATAAGTTATTTCTTAGATACTTATTTATATTGTTACAGTGATTTGGATTCACGAAGAGAAGTCAAAAAAGAAGAAGGTGAGGCCTTTGCTAGGGAGCATGGTTTAGTTTTTATGGAAACATCTGCAAAAACTGCAGCTAATGTTGAAGAAGCCTTTATAAATACTGCAAAAGAGATTTATGAAAAGATTCAAGAGGGAGTCTTTGACATAAATAATGAGGTATGAAAAAAATAGTTGAGTATTTTATCATCATCAAATCTGACATAATTCTATAATTCTTTTATATATCCAGGCAAATGGAATCAAAATTGGTCCACAACATTCTCCAACAAATCCAAGTCATCCTGGTTCTGGTGGGCCTGCTGGATCTCAAGCTGGTGGTTGTTGCTAGGCTTCAGGGGGCCCCTGTCTCTCATGCATCTAGAGTGAGGGTGTGCCCCACAAACTGACTGCATTGAACTGCGGATATATTTTACATGGATATATAAAATTAATGTTTTCAAATATGTACTAATTAAGTATCTTCAGTTTTGTTTGGTTTGAGTCTATTTTTATTCATTTTAATCAGAAGTTCATATATGTCAATCAGCTTGCTAAATGAGTTGTTTATGAAAACAACTTAATTGTTTGTCAGCACAATTGAATATTGTTTTAAACTGAAAATTTGATATCACTATTTTTACAGATACAACATTATGATGTGATAAGTTATTCAAGATAAAAATAACTAGTACCATAGAATATATTTAGAAATGTATTGTTTTAATCTCATTTATGTATGTGCCTGTGCTCATATGTAATCTATTTTAATCAAAATATGAATAGTTTTTTTTTATTATAGTTTATTTACTGAAATATATGTTTGTTGTATACTCATAATTTTTTTATGGGCTGTGGTTTGTGAAAGACATTTTTGATGCATATATGATTATTAAATGCTCTTTTGGTAAATGTATTTAGTGAATGCTTATATCACATAATAAATATTTCTAATTGTCAAAGATACTGTAGTGTCATTTCATACTGAGCAGTTTGAACCAAATGGCGCTATGTATCTATAATGAATATAATAATTGTATCAATTAATTGTGAAATTAAAAAATATATTGAATTTAATGTCTTTTATACAAAAACGTAGTCTTGAATAATAGAAAATTATTTGAATTTGGCGCAATTTCTACGTTAATAAAATTTTGACAGAAATGATTATAACTGACTCGTTAGTCATTTTTTCCTATTATATACAAAATTTCATAATCAAAGGAATATCTATTATTTTGAGCAAAATCCTAGGAATAAAGTAAAATTATCATAATATTTTGACAAGTTTAAGGATTTTGTTGATTGGTTGCGAGAAGGTCACGTGCTTTACTGTGCCCAATAGTGAACAGCCAAAGAGAAAATATGCCATTAATCCAAAATGGCGGATAATACAGTGATGGTAACGGCGGGTGTTGAAAAATCAATAAAAATACTGAAATGGAAAGTTAAGGAAGGTTTTACTATATCAATAGGTCAAATAATATTACTATACGATTTTGTGAATATTGCCAAAAGTGAACAAAAGAGATTGAAAGCGATAAAAGCTGGTAAAATTAAGCGTCTCGTTGTCAGGGAAGGGGATATTGTTGACCCTGGGTAAGTGACATATGCGCATGATTTTACGCGGTATATTTGAATTTATCAGCTGCATTGTAAATATCTTTTTCCAAATTTAGTTCGGCAATTTTAGAAATTGAAGAATGTACTCATCCAACTGTGATGAGAGATATGTGTGGAGAATGTGGAGCAGATTTACGAAAATCTGCAAACAATACTATGCAATCTACTGGAGCCTCTGTAGCTATGGTGCATTCGGTACCTGATTTGAAAGTAAGTCATGAGCTGGCCCAAAAGCTAGGTAAAGCAGACTCTGAACGATTACTTCAGGATAGAAAATTGGTTCTTCTTGTTGACTTGGATCAAACTCTGATTCATACTACAAACGATAATGTTCCTGTCAATATAAAGGTCTGTTTCTAAATTATACTTAAGATTTCATGGTATCAATTATTCTTTATTCATTTATTTCTCCTTGGGTTTCTAGGATGTGTACCATTTTCAATTATATGGACAACATTCTCCTTGGTATCACACCAGGCTAAGGCCTGGCACTCAAAAATTTTTAAAAAATATGTCAGCATTTTTTGAGCTTCACATATGCACATTTGGAGCACGTAATTATGCACACACAATTGCAATGTTCTTAGATCGAGATGGAAAGTATTTTAGTCATAGAATTTTATCACGAGATGAATGCTTTAATTCTACAACTAAAACAGCTAATTTAAAGTAAGTTTTATTTTATTATTATGTCAAAATTTTCGTGTCATTCAGTGTTAAACTATATTCAATTTGCTTTTAGAGCATTATTTCCATGTGGTGATAATATGGTATGTATTATGGATGACAGGGAGGATGTGTGGTCTTATGCTCCAAATTTGATTCATGTTAAACCATATCATTTTTTTCGTCATACGGGTGATATCAATGCGCCGCCAGGACTTGGTAAAACAGAGCAAGATGATGTATTACCGGGACCTGATCTCACAGGTAATAAAAAATACTTTGTTTAATTTGATTTATGGTTTCATATTATGTTTGTCAAAATAAACTATATATTATTCAAGCCATATTATATAATTTAATCTTTTTTTTTATAAAGGGTTATCAAAAATGGTTCGAAATCTGGAAAGGAAACTCAAAAGTACCAAGAGCAATGTTGGAGAACTTGAAGAAAGCTCTAGCTTAAATGTTAAAGACAATGAACTTCTTGGTAGTGTAATTATTTTAAAAATATTTTAGTTTGAATTTCAAAATTTAAGATTTAGTTGTATTTTTATAGATAACGATGATCATGATTTCAAAGGCAGTGTAGAAAAAAGTAATGCTTGTACAAAAAATACTGCACTTTCAGAAAATACTGAAAATTCAGAAAATTCTGAAACTACAGAAGTAAATTCAGAAAATATAAGAAATTCTGAAACGGCAGAAAATGCTGAAGTTGCTGAAACTGTTGAAACTGCAGAGAACATAAAAACTATAGAAGATGCTAAAACTGAAGAAAATGTTGAAACTGCAGAGAACATGAAAACTATAGAAGATGCTAAAACTGAAGAAAATGTTGAAATTGCAGAGAAAATTATAACTAAAGAAGATGATAAAACTGAAAGAAATGTTCAAACTGTAGAAAATGCTAAAAATGCAGAAGCATCTATGAATGATATCACAGAAATTGCTGAATTGGAAGATAATTCTAAGGCTACAGAAAGTAATAAAGAAGAAAGCTCCACAGAAAATGGTATTTCTGAGAAAAATTGTGAAAATAAATGTCTTTCAGACGATAAAGAGGAAGATGATGGCCTTATTGAATTAGAAGATGCTGATGATTATTTGCTTTATTTAGAAGTCATTTTAAAAAACATTCATCAGGAATTTTATAGATTATATGATAAAGAAAATGCAACTCTACCAGATTTGAAAGTAGTTATACCTGCAGTTAAGAAAAAAGTTTTAGATGGGTTACATTTAGTGTTTAGTGGCTTGGTTCCAACACATGTAAAATTAGAGCACAGTAAGGCGTACATGGTTGCAAAGAGCTTAGGTGCCACAGTAACACAAGATCTAACAAATACAACTTCACATTTGGTTGCTGTCAGATCAGGTAATGCATTATGCACGTTTTAATAAAAGATGTCCCAAATGATAAATGTTGACATAAGAATCATTGCAGCAAATTCTATCATATTAAATTAGTTCATCATGTTTTAATATTTTAGGAACTGCTAAAGTTAATAAAGCACGAAGGAAACATGGCATCAAAATAGTTACACCTGATTGGCTATGGTCATGTGCAGAAAGATGGGAGCATGTAGAGGAATGCCTTTTTCCTTTAACACCAAAACCATCAAGAAATCGACATCCACCGCCTCATTGCAGCAGTCCAGAACACAATTCTGAAATCATGCAAATTGAGCAAGCAAATGAAGGTAAACATATTTCTTGCAATAACTGTTTTTTGACTCACAAGCTTGATACTTGCCAATCTGAATAATTTGATTTTTCAAATGCATTATTTTGAAATTCATTACTTTGCTATCTCAGCCGGAAATACAGTGGGCCGAAAACGTACAGCTAGCGGAAGATTCATGGACACCATCAATCCACTCTTGTCATTTAGTACAGATGACATTGCCGATATGGATAGGGAGGTCAGAATTAATATTCATTGGCTAAATATTTGTTGTTTTTTATATAAAATTAAAATAATGACGTTTTTGTATGAAATCAGGTTGAAGATATATTTAATGAAAGTGACAGTGATGGCGAAGCAAATCAAGATGAGGATGATGATGAATTATATCATAAAAAAGAAGAGCAGAGGATAAAAAAGCAAATGCAGAAAATGGCAAATGAGAGCATAGAAATATCTGATAGCAGCAGTAGTGATGTGGATACTTTGTCAGGAAGTAAGTATTTACAAACATAATTTGTAATTTCTATCTTAAATCTATTTTATAATTAATTATTAGGTGAGCATCCTCATGGCTGGAATCCTGAGAACTCACTAGATTCAAATATAAAAAGTCTCAAAAGAAAGCGTTCTACAGAGGGCATTTCAGATATAATTAGTCCAATGCAGGATGAAGAAAATCAATTTTGTACTAATACCAAGTAAGTCCTTTATCATATTCTTTTTTTTGTCAGCCAAAACAAGAAATAAAAGCTTAATTTACCCTTTTTTTATAAATAAAACTTATTATTTACAATCTATTGTTAAATGGAATTTTACTATTAACTAAGAAACATTTATTGCAGAAGACGTTGGGTAGAATTGCACAATGGAGACGATAGCTCTGGAGATGAAGCTTCAGAAGGTTCAAGGGGGAGCAATGATCCTCCAGATGAAATTGATGATGGTGAGTGGAATATGATGGGAGCAGCTTTAGAAAGAGAATTTCTAGGTCTTGATTAAAACATTTTTTTTTTTGAGAGCAGTTGTGCAACAAGTAGATTTTAGTATAACAAATTAATTGAAATTTATTTATGAAGATAAATTTGTATATACTGTTATTGTTAATTAATGTTTAAATAAGTACAAAAGTCATGAGATTTTTATAAGATTATGAAAATAATTTATACATTCTTAAGTATAGTGTATGAGTAATTGTTTATAAATAATATTTTTGTTCATAAGTGTAAATAAAATTCCAAGTTAGGATAAATAATTTTTAATTTATACTACAAAATTATATAATAATCTATACAGCATATGGCTGATCTTCGCCAGATTCGTGATATTTAATATAGGTTTCTCTGTGGGTGAAATCTTTTTTGTCTTCTTGCCAACCTCTCGGGGGTGCTTTCTTATAATCAAATGTAGATTCTAGCCTTCCATATGCATCTATTTCTTTGTCAATATCATCTCTATACTGAGATACTACAACCTTTTTACCTGTAACTGGATCAGTTATGTCACCGAATGGATAAACTACTTCTTTAACCTTGTGAGTGATAAGTTTGGTTAATTTGTTTGGTAGCTCTTCAATTAGCACAATATCCCCTACTTTGCATTTCTTTTCAGGATCATGAGCATAAAAGATTTCATCCTTCCGAAAATACTAAAAACAGAAACTATTAAAACAAGAATAAATATAATTTGTATATGAAAATTGTATAGAAATACCATCAGTAGATTCTCATCCAAATCCATTCTTTTTACACGAATTTTTGAAGCTTTTTCTTTAACACAAGGAAGACATTGTCCTAAAAGCATATAAGCTTTGCTAGCTGCTTTTCTGGTTGCCATTTATATAATACTGAATTTCTAGTTTTCACTTAATTTAATGTGCACTTTTTTCTGATAGTATTAACCTTAAGTGTTTTAGGTTATGTATGTTCTTTTAAGCAGAGTACTTTTTTATAACTGTCTAAATACAACAAATTGGATTTTATTTAATTTCTCAATGAATTGTTAAAAATTATTAATCAGAATTAGAACAAGGCTTTTCAAACAGTTTATTACAAGTTAAATGACAACCATTGTATATGTAATACCGATAACAACTCAAAAATTAAATTTACAGTGAACACAGATTTTTATTCAAATATTTAATAAATAAATAACATTTTGTAATATTGACATTTGAAATGATCTATTTTTAATAGTTGTATTTGTATATAAATAGTATTATATATAAAATTGATTTATAATCATGTATAACTAATCATCGATATTCTATACGATAATTATCGAAATTTCCGATTCATAATATCGATTGTCAAATCCTCCAAATTTGACGTAAAAGCGTACAATCGTACAATGAAGAATTGTGTTAAAATTAATAAAATCGTGTTGAATGATTACAATTAATGATCAACGTTGTCTAGACTATGTTTTCTTACGGCATTTTATTGAGTTTACAAAATTAAATACTCATTACTTTATTTATACCTTTGGTTTTCTAAAAATAGTTGAAATTACATTCTAACCTTATTTACATGTGAAGTTAAATAAATATATAGATACCTAGTATTAATATATACTACCTGCAAACAATAAAAAATTAATGCAATGGCATCTCAAGCACTAGCTTCCTTAACAGCTACATATACAGACTCCGAAGGAGAAGAAAATGTTGAGGAAGAAGAGCAAAGTGAATTAATTGCAGAAATTCAGAGCGGAAGCAGTTCTGCACCTTCAACTCCTCCAAAAAATCCTAAACCTAATACAAAACCCAGAACAAAAACTAGATTAGTAAGTTATCATGATGATACGATAGCATCTGATGATGATGATGAAGAAAATGAAAGTGAAGAAGAACCAGAAGAGCCCTCTGAAGAAGCTGCAAATGTAGAAGATGTTCCAGATGATAGCGTCATCGATAAAAAGTTAGTATAATTTTGTGTTGTAAGCTTCTAAGCTTTAAAGTTAAACTCCAACTCAATTCAGGGTATCCAGAGTTGTAAGAAACAGTTTTTTTGTAGGTATATATATATATATATATATATATATATATATATATATATGTTTGTATATATGTATGTATATATGATTCTGGGTTACATTCATCCACATATTCATATTACACTCTGGTTGCAGATGGTAAACCCTAGTTTGAAAACTTAAATACATAATGAAATGCATTTTGCTGAAACACTTCTTATTCACTTGAGTATTTAAATATGATCATTTTAACTTCCGCATTTTCTGTTACCACCAATTTCATTAAGTTCTTGTATCTCATTGAAAATAATGGCATTTAAAACAAAGTTTTCATGGTTTATAAATGCAATTAGAAAAAAATATAATTATATCTTATCGAAATGAACAATGTAATTTTAAATGGATGCTGAATTATACATAAGAGTTTTTATTTGGACTTCAATTTGATAATTAAGCAGCTATATGTTATGCTCATATAATAAAATTGTATACTTTACATATCTATAACATTGCTCTTTTACTAAACTTATGCTAGTTTTATTTCTTGCAAGTGAACAACTTCATTTATCGAATCATTTCATGTGATTTATTAATAATTATTAATAAGTATTCTTATTACATAGGTATGAACATCTAGGCGTAAAATTACCTCCAGAACCTGCTGGAAAGTGTCCTCAGGATCTACAAAACAAAATTAATAAACTTATGATAAATGATTCAAGAGAGAAGCTGGATATGAATAAAGTCATTCAAGAGAGAAAGGATTTTCGAAATCCTAGTATATATGAAAAATTAATTCCGTATTGTGGTATTAATGAATTTGGAACTAATTACCCACCTGAAAAATATGATCCATTCAGGTAAATTACAAAATTTAAATGAGTAGATTTTAAAAATTAAGTATAAAAAAATAATAATGATGATTTATCTTACAGGTTTGGTAAAGAAAGTTATTATGAAGAACTATCGAAAGTGCAGAAAGTAGAAATGGACAAAAGGGAAAAGAACGCAGGGAGCGAAATAA